CAACGGAATGCGTTGAACATTTCATTTCAGAGAAACAAATGGGAACGTCTGCGCGATGTTGGCCAGACGTTATGCTATCAGGAATAGCGTGTGTCGAGCGTCAGCAAATAGCCCCAAAGCGTTCGTCGCGCTTTTTCTTCTGTGATCACGTTTCTCCATCCGGTCGCGCCCGGACAGTTTTCCGCCGCGCCCGCGTCAAACCGAATTTGATCGTCGCAACAAATACATTCGCAGACGTTACGAGACACTCGAATCGCGGCAAACTCTGTAAGCTTCTGCCCTCGGCGCTTCCATTTCACGACGAAAAATTCGAAATAACTTGTGCACACTCTTGTCGTAACAAAACACTCTTCTCCCAATTCGCTCGCACCGGGCGCGTGCTTTAGCTTCGCGAATCTTGCGTTCTCTCAATGGCAGCGAATTACGCGAACCGTAGAGCGCCCGATTGTGTGCGTCGCTCCCGAATTGAATTCGCAGCGCGGTGCGATCCGCGAGAGAGGAAAAAAAATATTTGCGGTAGACGCGCAATTAACTCGACAAGCTCGAATAGGGGAGTAAAAGGCTAGGGGATTTTGTGTGCATGGAGGACGGAGTGGGTGGGAGGGATCGTTGGGCGAAAGGGAAGAAGCGAGAGAAAGGGTACACGGAACAGAGGTTGCTTACCTTGGCGAGTCGTGGTTCGACGAGCATAGGACGCAGTCGTCGGTCGCTTAATGCGAATTTCACATGCATAGAAGAAAAGGGAAGCTAGGGAACGGGGGTGAACCACAGGAAGCGATGCCAAGCACGTAGCATTTTAAAATGGGAAAGAGCGCGAGGGGCGAAGGGGTGAGCGTCGCGCGGACGACAGCGTTTCGTCCTTGGCGAGCGCACGCTCGCGAAACCTTCGACCTTTTGCCTCTTCCCTTCTCTTCTGTTCCGTCGCGGGTTTCTTTTGCTCGTTTTTTCGCGCTTTCTCCCTCTTGGTCGTTGGTAGTTTCTGCCCTTTCGATTGCAGCACGCGTTCCCGTTCTTTCGGGATCGCAAAGAGAAGAGTAAATAGAACGCATTGGCTCCTATTCCGTTTTAATATCGCGTACGAACAAGCGCGACCGCTCGAGCGTCATAAGTTTCGAGATGATTACACGCCTAATATCCGACTGAATTTTCTATCGTCGTCGCCATATACATATTGTACGTATCGCGAGTCCTCGAGTTACGCGGTTAATCCCTCGCCTACATATACAATTTTATACGAATTATAGATTGGGAAGAAAAGCAACGAATACCAATTTATTTTCGACGTTTAGTCGATAGAGGGAGGAACGAAGAAAGAAACGTACAGCGAATCGCCGGCGCTGCGCCGTTCAGAGGGTTCTTCGAGGCAGTAAATTTCTGTGCCCAAGTATATCGTGCGCGACGCCTTCTCTCCCCTTTGGGCAGTATCATAAATTTCCGCGCCTAATCCCGCAAAAACCAAGGCGGAGCGGCGTTGACCATGGAACAAAAAGAGTTAACTTTTAAAGGGTTAAAAGGGAGTCGGAGTGCTCGACCGGCCCGCTTCGAGCTTGCTTTTTACGTCAGCGTGTGTTTGCCCGCGCGACTTTGATCCGAGCCACTAATAAAACGTTAATTAACGCTTCAAACGTGCGCGCGCCACGATTGAATCGAATGGTTTGTCGGGACCTTGACTCGAGCTGGTGATTAATTACCGGTAGCACGTTCGTTCTTCCATCGCGAATTCCTGCTCACCATGGAGATCGAGCGAGGTTTGCGCTCCTCTTTGCTTTTCTCTGATTTCGTCGTAAAAAAGTATACGATGTATGTTTTGAAATCAATTTGTTGCTAATTTACGGTGCAACGCCTTTCCATTATGGTCCGAGAACGACTTTCAAGAGCGGGGTATCGATACGCGGTAAATGTTGGAGCGGAAACGCGAAAGGATAGAGCCTTGCGCGATGAAACGGTCCTCGACGCCTTTCCTCGATTGTCTTCGAGTCGATTTCGACTAGTGTTCCTCGACTGTGAGAACTCGATTCACGGGTATATTAGGCCGTCGCCGATCCCAGAGGTGACGACGTAATCTTTGCTTTCAATTACATCTGGTCGAATCAAGATCCGCTGCGTGCAATTTACCGAGGCTCGTCTCTCGCCCTGTCCGTGTATCATTTCGCGGTGTAGGCGTAGCGAAGCTTTCAGGCCGCGGAACAGCTGTCAGACGGAGGCAGTCGACTGGAAAGAGAATTTCTGAGAGGCGAACGCCCGGTAGTCGGTTTAAACCCTGAACAATTGGCAAAACAGCTTCTACGGGAAACCGTACTATCTTTCTCGTTTTGTCGAAAGTAACCGCGGGACTCGAAGAGTGGCAGAAAAAAAGGACGCGCGTAACTTGAAATGAGACGTTCTCCTGCTTTGCTGAAATCATTGCCTCCGGATCTTGGAAATTGGAAAAGGGAGCGTAGGTTTGTTCGACCCTGATTCGAACAGGGATCCTTCGTTTGGCATGCCAGACTGCTCTAATCGAGTTACATACACAGGCCGCCGACAGGCTCCTCCTCCCTGTGTCTACCGCTTCGAGTGCTCCCCCGCCTATTGAAACTAGATAATATTTCGAGGTGTTTTGTCACGAGCGATTCATTATCATTCAATTACCTTGGTCCCATTCCATGTTCCATTTAGATCGCGAATATGTTTCCGGATATGGAATGCTCGGATTAGTGACATGTTCGTCAAACTCAACAAGAGACCAGTCCTCTGTCGAAACTCGTTTAAATTTAAAGAAAATATTCTATGCAAACATACCGTCGCGAGTGTCTTCAAGATCGATAGTATTATTACGCGTTTCAGCACCGGTATTCGACCGTAGCAGACTGTCGTTCGGTCGTTAATATCCTTCAGCGCGTGGTTTCTGCGGCGGTCTGAAGTTTCGAGGAAGCAAGAACCGCGGAAAATGACATTTTACTCGTTACGCCGTGTGTGTAATGTGTATGCGCTCTCTCTCTCTCTCTCTCTCTCTCTCTCTCTCTCTCTCCGTTCCATGCTTCCTGGCTCATGCTTGTCCATTACGTTTACATGTATGCGCGTGCACGAGCAGGCGTAGGATATAACGATAGCGCGAGGTAGGTCGTTTAAATCCCTCTTCATCCCCCGCCGGGCGTATCGCAACTCCGACGATATTTCATCCCTTGCGGTGGTGCACCCGTTCCGCATAATATCAAAGGGAAGCTCGAAAGCTCGAAAGAACAGAACGACTCTGGCCGAAAATCTTTCGGAGCAAGAAACTCTTCTCTCGTGCACCGGCCGCTGGCTTTACTCTGCAACGTTCCCCTGTGCGTCCCCTTGTCTCTGTTTTCCTCTCCTCTCGTTTCTCGCAGACGATATTTCGCGACTTTGTTCAGCTGCTCTGTACACGAAATAATTGCAACAGCTGCTTCCATCGAGCGAAACCTGTACAATCTTCGTCTCGGTTAGTGGAATTTTTAGTGGAACGGTAACTGTCCCGGTAATCCGATGGATCGAGGCTACAACTACCCCGACTCTCCAGAAAACGAATTAAATTTGACAACTTTTCGTGTAACGTATATTAATTGTCATTAACAAATTTCCAGATGATAATTCCGGATAGATTGATCGGTAAACTAAATTTTTGTGGATGGTTTTGTCTCGTATTTATAATAATAATAATAATAACAACAAGAACAATTGAATTCCAAAAACTAACGAGCGTATAGGAATCGTTGGAAACGTTAAAGTTAAAAGTCCGATTAAACTTACGTCTTCTTATTCCGATGCTTCTCGGTGGAAGGAAAGTCCCTGACCTGATCACCTAAGCGCCTCACCTTCCCTCTTTTTTCTCGGTAAGCTTCCTTGCAACTTCTCGCGGTATTGCATTTACGTCGTCTCGGGGCTTGGCTGGCTATCTCTCTAACGAGTAATTATCCAGACACACCGCCCTCCCGCGCTCTCGAGACCCTTCGATATCGCGCCCCTACAGAAAAACTAAGAGTCGAGGAACTTTGAATATTCGAGTAGTATTCAAATATTGCTATCTGATAAACGAAGAAAGGGATTCTTAAACTGTGTATTCGACGTATTATCGATTGTTTGTACCAAGGCAGTCTCGCGTTCGCGTCGAACACGTTTTGCGAAATAAATGCTGAAAGTTGTTAATTTTAATACGAGTATTCGTATTAATTGACTAGGTTACGTAAAAATAAGAGGTCTCGGATTTGGTTGATTCGATCGATCATTGGTCGTTGCCGAGATTCGTTGATTATCGCGGCGGCGACGGCGGCGGTGGTTCGAGCGGAGGAAAAGCCGTAGCCGGTGCCCGTGGACTCGAATTAATGATTTTCTTCGAAAATTGCGATCGACCCACCGGATGCATCGGGCGCTCGTTAAAGAACAGGCTGGTAGCACTTGACGCGCGAGATGCACGGTTAGAAAAAAGGGTCCCGGTACGAACAAGCGTACGTGATTTATAGCGTGCTCGTTAATCACGTTAAGTTTCCATCGCGATCTCCGCCTCCTTATTAAACCACGATTTCATCTCATTGTTCTCCAAGACAAAGGCTGACTGACGCTGGATCGTAAACGCCGTCCACGGATTTGCGTCTGTCCGTCCGACTGTCTGTTATCGTAGCTACAACAACGTAACCGGCTTACACCGGTCGAACATCAATTTCTCCTTCCAACAACGTCGTAAACTTACCAGCCACTGTTGCGTCGCATTAATTGCCACCGCTCGTGCATACTTGGTATATAACTTGAAAGGAGCGTTCGCACAGTTTTCCCCGAAGGGATACACATAGCTACTTGGCTAAATCGGCCAATTCGCCGCGAAACTAATCTTGACGATACAAGGTTGAAAAATGTTGTCGAATCCGGATAAAGGAACATTTTTGGTGGACTCGCCAGAGTAAAACGACAGATCGATGGTTTTAACGATAACGCGTAAAAAATACTAACTGGAATCTGTGTGTTAAGGGTACTAGGTGTAACGAACGTTAACGTGCTTGCAGGTTAATCCGGACGCTCGGGACAGCACGACGCAGCAGATCCAATCGAAATTGGGCAACTATTTTCTGGTGAAGCATCTTTTGGACGAGCCAAAACGGCTGATCGGCATCGAGGGTGTGCCGCCAAGCCCTGCCCCGTCTCCGTCTCCGTCTCCCTCAACCCTACGAACGAGTTCCAGCTCGGTCGGTTCAAATTCCAGAAGCTCGCCCTCCTCCCAAGAATTCAAGAAACCCGGAGGACCACGATCCGGCTCGTCATCGTCATCGTCGTCATCGTCGTCGTCGACGTCGACGTCGTCGTCGTCGAGCCATCAGCGTGGGGGTTTCGTGAAACCGGCTGACGGAAAACCACCGTACGGGGGCAGGGGTGGCTACCCCGGCCAATCGGTGAAGCACGGGGGCAACAGCAACGATCATCGCAGCCACGGTTTATTAACCGCCAAAGGACCGCCCCCGAATTCACCCGGGAACGGAACGCTCGTTGGCAATTCGAATATCGGGAATTCCAGTGGCAGCAGGCTTCACTGTGCCGGCAACAGACTGTCCAGGTTACCTCTCGATAACGTGAGTATCGATTTCCATTGTTTCGTGTCCACTGCTGCCGTCGCCGCCGCCGCCACCACCGCCACCGCCACCACCACCACCACCACCACCTCCGTCTCCACCCCGTTCCCGTTCATCCTTCCAATCGTTCTTGTTTACACGGGCAAAATGTCGCCGACGGTGCGTGGTGTATTCTCTGCTAGCTGACCGGTGTGTCTCTCGATTCCCAGCTGCTCGTCGGCGAGATGCCAACTTTCGCCGTCTACCTTTTAGCGATCACTTTGTTAACGCTCGACGAGCGACTTTTATCCACCGATTCGCGTACCGTTAAACGGGGCAAACTTTGTATCGCGCGGAAGTCCTAAGATTAGATCGGCTATTGTTTCCGCGGTTGTCTATCGACGATTACCGTTTACTCGATTAAATTCCTACAGTCATCGTGATTCGTTTCAAGCGTAGGAATCTTTCGTTAGCCGTACACGGTAAAATACTTTTAAACGAAACACATTTTTAAAGAGGGCCCGAGAACGTACGAACGTGTATGTACATGAATACCAGGACATGGTTCGTGCTTACGGTTTTCAAACCTTGCGTACACCGATAGAGTAATTCGATAACGCGTCCGTGAAGTTGAAAAGAAAACTCCTCGAGTCCCCGTAGAATGACCGTCGAGCCGAAAGGTTTAATCGTCGAGAAACGACGATAAAGAGGTTATTACCGACTTTTGCGTTTCACGCAGGCTACGACGGAGTCCCTTCCAGGGTCGATGTATTCGATGAAAGCGCGACGGGCGACAGGTTCGTTGACAGGTAAGGAATTGCTTTCCACTGGAAATCCCACCGGAGAACTACGCGAGGCACGAGAAAGGGTCGGGTCGAGGTTCGAGTTTGGTCGAGCCCTATTACGCGTGACTACTCGAGGTGCAAATTTCATTGAGATTGACTATCGATCGTGTCTTACCCGTTTCGGTCCACGACGGTGTCTCTCTGTCGCGAGCTCGCTTCGAGCACGTCCAGAGAGCGCGCGGTCTATATCCCGGTGTACTTATACAATTAGGCTTGGCTGGAGAAACGCCGACGCGACGTCCTCTCGACTCTCCCATAGTCGAGAAAATTGATTCCCTATCGGGTCCTCTTTTCTTTTTCCATTCTTCCCACGGCCGTTCATCTCTTTTTCTCGGCTAGCATTTATCTCGCTCAGACTCCGTTCCAATCGTCCGTTCACGAGTCGTTTGCCGTTCGTTTTCATCCGCGAAATTAGCTCGAAATTGCGCGCGAGATCGAATGGAAGTAAAAATAGAGAACAAGGTTCAATGATGGTGGTTTTACTTTACCAATGTAAACGATGCGTTCACCGGAAAGGTAAACGAACCGACGACTATCGATACTTGTTTCGACGATCGTCCTTTTCGCCTTTCGTTCTTGTATTTCTTACTTACAATTAGTATACTAGGTCGCGAATTCACCGCGGTCTCTTTCCTTTCTCTTTCGTTAAAACCTTTTCAACTGTTTTCTTATACTTTTTCCTTTTCTCTTCGATTCGTTAAATTTCACTTAAATTGCGCCCAATTTTTATTTTTATTTGTTTGTGCTAGTCTAGATGGTTAACTACAGATGGTAGTCGAAACGTTGCGTTATCAAACGACCCGTATCGTAGACTAGCCACGATGGAGACTTCGGTCTTCCATTCGAAAGTCGTTCGAAAGTTTTATTCAGACAAGAATTTTACTAATCTCGGCTTTGTTTCCAATCTTTTCGTTTGATTTGTCAGGTAACTTTTCCGTTGTTCGCAATTCTTTCACACCCCGCCTCCGCGCTCCCGTTCGCGATTATCCTGGCCTTGTTAGTTTTCCCATCACCGTGTCCTCGGGCTGAAAGTCGCATTCCCTCGCTATCCGTTTTAGTCATCCGCGACGAGGTACACGCATTTTCTCCATTGTCTCCGTGTTATTTCTCTTAGGGACGACTACTCCGACGTAACTCGTGGTAATATCTTGGTTCCTCGTCAGGCCCGTTGCTTCTTTCATCGCTTCTCTTTTCACCGAAAGAGAAAGAGAGCGTTGATGAACGATCGCTGCGCGAGAATTCCGTGATAAATCGAGGAGAGAACGCCGCGAGAATTTCAGCGGAAGGCGCGGATTTGTCGTCCGAAATGAATCGTATTTTAATTATTGTACCAAGCGCGTGACAGAAAAGCGTGCTATTTTTAAACGCCAAAAGTACTGGTCGCCGCGTTGTATCGAGAAAGGTATACATCGAATATCTGCTCGGAATCGATACCGATAAGTCGATGAAAGATAAGATATTTAATAAATAAATGAAACTTTTAATTCGTTAGTCCGTACAAGTACATATAAAATGTTTTCGTTCTTATGTTTGTGTCAACGCAAAATAGATCAAGCGAACCAGAAAGATTATTAGCATAATTCGATGCACGTATTATTCTTGTAAGTTGAAATTTAATCTAATGTAATGTTGCTGTTGCTGTTTCAGGGGACAAGTTCGAGGCCTGGTCCTACCGAGAATTCAGCCGATTTGGATAACATTCTGAAGGTAATTTCTACTATAATTTCGTATAAATTTGTTCGTAAACAACGGTCAAGTTCGATCGTACGAGTTACCATAGTTTATCGTATAATCTTTCGTCTTACACGTGTTTGTTGAAGAATGCTTGGTTGCGCGGTTGAAATTCTACTTTTTATTCGACGAGCAACCTATGATTCTCTCAGTGGTAATTGGCACCGTTATCGAGTATCCTGAACATTTGTCAAGAGTCTCGCAAGGAGTAATCCTTTATCGATCGCGCGACACGATCGACCCGTAAGCGTAGAACGTTGCTCCGAGCTTAACCGTCGTTGGAAGTTCAGCTTTAGTCGATAAGTCAATTTTCTCGCCGTTACGACGCTATCCGACTCGCGGTCGTATCGCGGTTGTCGTTCAACCGAATCGACCCACCGTGTTTTAGTCTGGCTGTATCGGTTTTCGTCGGCGCTGCCCGAGGAACGTACAACGCAATTTCGCGCCATGCGAGGAGGAGATACTTGGTTGCGCCGCGCTGTACATCGAACGGATAGACGACGAGGCTGCAAACTATTTTTTTCCCCATTTTCCTTGATTTGTACGCGACAAAAGCAAAAAAAGAGTCACGAACAATTTGTCGCGTTTTCGGTGAACTCGATTCCACCGTGGCCAGTTGAAACAGATACGTTGCAATCCGGTTGATAAACTGTTGGCTGACCTAGTTTTGTTGGTGAATAGAGAATAATGATGGCGCGGGAATAGTCGGGCGCCGTGGGAGCCTAGGAACCCAATCTTCCGACTCCCGTGGACAACAGGGGACGAAAATGTTGGCGTCTCTCGAAAACGCCCACCGTTTTAGCTAGTCGTACGGCCGTATAACGAGATTCTCGATATAACTTGCTGGTTACGGGATCGGTAAAAGCAGTCGGGAGGTTGTCAGACACGAGCGCTAATTTATGGACACGGCTTAACAACGATTATCGGTGAATTGATATCATTACGGAGCTGGCAATATCGCGACAGACGCCCGATCGAATATCGAGGCATAGTAGCCGCGATTAATATCTTTATCGTAGGTATCCATTATCGCGGATGGTACGCGATTGATACTATTCCACCAACGGGAGACGTGGGCTGTGAACGTTTTAGCACGACCAGCATAAGGAGAAAGAATACGTCACCGGTCGAATAACTTACTTCTGGAAAAAAACCGAGCCATGTCCGCGTTACTCGTATCTCGGTATCGTCGTATCGAACGTTGATTCGAGTTTCGAGCATCGAAAGGTTCAAAGGAAAGTAGACGGCTGATATCGTTCGTGCAAAAGAAAAAGACATGATTCGGTGGTTTGCACTCGAAAAAATATAGTCTCGATGCGAAGGAATACCATAGCGAGACTAGGGATATGTGTGCGTGTTCTAGAATCAGAGGAAAATGGATCATCCGCGCCGTTCGCGCAGTTTCCGTCGAGAGTAGTCGACATTATCGTTCTCCGAGCTTTTCCACTTTCGGTGCGAATTTATGACGATACCAGCGGCCAGAGTCGGTGTACAGTTTCTGGCTCTGTCGGACTCCCTCTCGTTCCCGTCCGCGCATCCTCCTTCCAGTGTGCTCCGACCGTTTGGTATAGAAGCACCGTCGAGGCCCATGAATTATTCTCACGGCTCTGCCCGTGGGAAAATACGAGAGTTGCGCCAGTAGGCATCGTAAATGCGGCTGCTAATTGCGCTCGCCGACGACCACCGTTGCCGCGCGCGTTTGCGTTCGGGGCTCGAGCTCGCATCCCGAATATCGCGGACTTTTTCACCATCGCTATATCGTCTCTTCTTCGTCCTCCATTTCGGATCTCCAGCCTCTGGTCGATTCGTCGACTAATCGGGGGGGGGGGGGGGGGATATACCCGTGAAACTAAACAAGTTTTAATTTCGTGCCTTCACCGTTGAAACTTTGAGCGTGTCAATTTTGAAACATTTCTCGAAAAGGAGAGGTATCGAAGTAATCGGTTCGAGGCCTCGACTAAATCCACCATCGAGGTGCCGCAGGATTTCCCGCTCGAGCGTTTTTTTCCCTCGCTTAAATTCGATTCCCGTGTAGCCTGTATAAATCGTCGCCAGTTAAATCAGTTTTCGTGCGCGCAATGGCGCTGGGCGCCGTTGGTGTTTCGATCGGGGCGAAGCGTCGTCCAACTTTTTGCGGGCTCGCGTGATTTCGCGTCCACGACTACGGGTCTCTTTTTCTCCCTTCTACCTCGCAAAACTCGATCGGTTAACCGTGCACGCCAGGGAAGACAATTAGGACGAGTTAATAAGGTCAACTCGACGACGTCGATTAAGTTAACCGACAGTCCAAGTCTTTGACCATGCTACCGTTCCCGCGTTACCGAACGAAACCGTGACCAGGGATGAGTATCGTCTAGGTAAAACGAAACAAGAAAAAACAAAAATTATTAACGATTCAACCTCTATCGTTTTTTTTTTTACCTTATATCCGATACTTGAAATTTATTAAGCATCCACGCGATAGAAGCCGCTCGTCGCGACGGAAGAGAGGAGGGCAAGTTCGGACCGCAAGTGCGACGCGACGAGTTTCCTCGAAGAGCCCCACTTGCACCGGCCATCGACTATCCGGTAACGGGTTTTCGCTCCTTCTCGCGTGCCCTGCATAATTACCGGAAGCTACCTTTACGCTACTCGAAGAGCCGCGGTTAGCCAGTCCGTCGACCGGCGAAACTACTTGTTTTTTTTTCCTTTTCGTTGCTGCGAACGGTTCACCGAATTTCGTCCAAGCGAGTCGAAACAAGCTTGCGAGTAGAGGACATTTTTGTTCTCCGAGCAATGTTAGGTATCCTACAAAGCTATGTACCGTGGACGGTAGCGGTACAGTTGGTAGCGAATTCGTGTTCGGTGAACGTTCGATCCATCGATCGCCATCCTACGAGTCCGACGAGAGAGACGCACGCACGCATCGCGTCGCGTCGCGTCGCATCGTTCAATTTCCATAACTCGCGGTCGCGTTTCGTGTTCCGCGAGAATAAATTGGTTCGCCGTTGCGCGAGTGATAACTGGTTCGCACGAAATTGTAAGTCGCGAATGTGACTCAGCCCCTGGAGAATTTTCTCTCCTCTTGGCAAACGCGTCGAGTCCTTTTTCGTTCGACTCTGTCGTCGAGCCGTGGGATGCAAATGGAGAATTTCGTACCCGAGTCACGCGTATCTCCGAGTTGCACTCGAGCGAGCCAGAATAATAAGTTGCGATTAGCCGTGGCGGCTCGTTCGCTATCCGATTGGTCGCCAATCTGCGAATCAACAGCCGGAGGAGGCTCTTTCGAAAAATTACATCGAATCGCTTTTCCATGAATTCGCGATCAACAACAACTACATATGTATCCGTCGCGCGAGCAACTTTTGTCCGTTGGAAAAACGTGCAGCGGAAAAATATCGAAACGTTAACTCGTAACAATGTTCCGTCGTTTCCGTCGTTTCCGTCGTTTCCGCCCCGGGGATAACGCTGCCATTGCCGTTTACCGTTATATTCGCGACGCTCCGCGTTACATTATGCATGGTCGTACAACGATCCGGTACTCGTGGGTTATTCTTTCTCGTCCACGATACATTATATCCTTCGCGCCCCGTGTTTTCTCGCAAACGATCCGATTTCTATGCTACCCCGATTGTTAATCGACTGTACATCGCGATAAAAGTAGCATTAGTTTTATTTTTTTTTTATTTGAAATATAGTAGAACGATTATGTATGTAAGTTTTGTACGCGAGTATTCGCATACGAGACGAGTTTCGAACTCGATTTCTGGCCAGCTCATCGATGCGACCGCGACGCGGAGAAAAGCGATGCACTCGAACCGGTCGAATTTCCCTGCTCGTATAATTCCTCGGTAAGCGCTCGCCCGCTGGTAAACGAGCTCTATGTCGGCGATCGCAGAAAGACTATAAGCACTCGCGACGGGAGCCTTTTGTTTCGTCGGTCTTTGTTCGCGTCGACGGATGTCTCGGCGGGTCAACGAATCGGTCTCGACGATTCGCTCGTGGAAATGCGTTTCGTTCGATGAGCCCGTGTCGATGCACCAGACTGCATTGTTCGCATGTTTTTGCGACTTGTACCGTGCCTCTCGTGACGTAGCAATGGATACGCTCGCGCGCACAGCCACGTGGACCACCATTAATAGGTACGCTTCCGAGTGCATACCTGGCTCTCGCGGTGCGAGTGACGATACGCGGAATTTGTGAGCCCCCTCCCTGGCTATTGACGTAATCGTGGCCCAGATGTGCACGGTCTTACGCAAAAGTATTCGCTACGAGTCATACGGCTTGCACAACCCTTCGTACCTCGCCGAAAGTGACGAGACCGTTTCTTCGAGGGTCGCGTTCCACCGGCAGTAAAACGAGAAACCCTTCTTCTTGGATTTTTTTCTGCTTGATTGTTTTAGTTTCTTATGGAATAGTAAAACGCGAAACGTCAGGAAAAAAGCGGTACACGATTGTAACTACGTGTATGTAAATTTCAATAGACGATCGATTTGGCCTGTTTCAGGAAATGACCATGCCGCCTACGCCTCTGACGGCTATCGCCCAGACGCCGAGGAAGGAGCTCGAGTCAAAGTTCACGTTCAATCCCGTGCTAGCGAAGGTGAGAACTCGTTGTTTATTCACGGCACTTGGGGAAATACGAGAACGATCGAGCACCCGGAAAAATGCGCGATCCGTTTCAAAGTTTCGTCGAAAAGCAACCAAATTATATTTGTTTCGTTCGATAAATTCGTATTCGTTAAATTATAACGTTGCTCGTTGTTTCGAACCTTCTTCGGGACTTGTTCGCGAGTACGGTATGTGAAAATAAATAATCGATAATATTAGGGTGTGGATGTATCGAGTAAAAATCAGAATTGCTAACGTTCTTTTTACGTTACGTTTACGTTGCTTTCAACGAAATCGGTGATATTACCTAACGGAGCAAAATCGAGTAGTTGAAATTTTACATTGTAATTATTTAATTTGATTTATTTATAAGGGATGTACCCTTAGGAAAAGAAATGATACGAAACGAAATACAGTCGAGAGAACGGAAAAGAAAGAAAAAGAAACCATACGTACAAGAAAACGCAAAGAGAATACAAAGAGAAAAAAAAAGTTATAAGGTAAATATACCAGGAAACTACTTTAATTTGATCCGGATAATAAAATATAATTTCGTTTTTTCATCGAAATTTTAAATTTCGTTAATCGAGTAACGAATAGAAAATTCATTATCTTTGATGGGTTACTCGTAATTTTTGTCTAGAAAAGAAATTTGCCCGTCACTGCTGGATAGTATGGCAACGATAGCGTCCGTTTCTCGCGGCGATGACCTGTGAGCATAGATCGTGGAAACGTTTCGAATCGTATCGATCGGCGCCGGCGGATTGTTTGTTTCGTGCCACTTGGCATCGCGTCAAGATGCTCGTCTTATCCGAGACGGACGCTCTTCGTTGTTGCTAAAAAGGGGGGCATTCGCGTGCCCGCATCCATTATATAAAATCCGTACGTCCGTAAATGCGAGATTTCGGTTTTTCGTCGCGAGCAAGCGCTAAACACTCGAGAAGAACGCGCGCGGATTCGAACGATCGACAACGGAAAACGTTTCGAGCCCGAAGAAGAAGCTAGCTTTCGTGCCACTTGGCGCCGAGTCAAGAGTTTCCTGCACTCGAAATCTCTGCGTTTACGAGAGAAAAGAGTCGACGAAAGCAGTGCTCGTCGACCAGTTCGTGCAACACCGCTCCCCAAACTTTTTTAGTCACGGAACAAATTCTTTCGTCGCTCTTTACTTTGAGAAAGTAAACGAACGAATATTTATCGTATTCGTTGTTTACCTTTCGATCATTTATCCAAAAGAGACATCCTTCGACTTTAGATATTTTACGTTCGCGCGATACTAATATCGACGAATCTCTGTTTTTCTTTACAGTTGACCGAGGTGCCACCGCCGGAACCCACCAAGTCTCGTAAGTAAAATTTTCGTGCTGCGTTATGTTTTCTTTCGAGGTAACAAGCGGTCCCTTGAAATGAAAATACTCGAAAAACTAAATATCGGCCTGTCAACTTGTTTGCGAATGAAAGACGAAAATATTCCAAACCGCGACGCAAGAATTATTTGGGCGAGGCTATCTAGGAATAAAGCACCGAGCTACGAGAAACACGGATTCACGCGGTTTGACTTCTCGTCCTAGGCAATTTACGCAAGGTCATTCTACAAACTGGGACAAGCTGTAGTTCATTTCCGTGGGTAGACAAAATAAATTGCCACGGAAAAAGATGGATCCGTAATGGTTGGGGATTACTTTTTATAATAGCCGGTCGCCCTTGTTTCTTTTTTTAAACGAAACCATGCATCTGCGGTAGACAGATTTCTTTGTCAACTTGTAACCGTTACGCAAAGAACGTTACGCAACATGTTTTTACATCGTTGATAGTCCAGGAAATATTTAAACCGAACAGAACGGGTCACGCGCAGTGGTGTTATTCGTCTGGCGGGACCACGACGAACTTTTTCCCGAATTCGATGTTTGTTTTGCTAAAATACAAATACTTGCTTTAGCTTCCCGCTGGCGGCTCTTGGTAGGTTTGTTTGACTTTGGAATCGGTAGCGATGCGCGCTAGATCGTCAAAGGTCCGGGTCCCGCGAAAAACCTGTGGATTCATTGATATTCGAGCGTTTCTAAGCGACTGCGACTGTGGCGGGAGGCTCGAAGCTCGAAGCTCGAAAACGGCCGAGGGAGCAGGGATACACCGTTTCATGAATTAACCATTCGACGCGGTTCTCCCTTCCGCTTGCCAGCGATGCTCGAATATACCGGCCACTTTGCGACGAGTATTATCGGCGTTACAAGCGCTCGTGGCACCCTCCCTCGCTTGGACCCGCGAAGCGTTGATCGAAACAATTTCTTTCGTGCTAGACACATTTACGCAAAAGGACGCGCCTGGCACGTGGAGGCTAAGGCGAACATACAAGAACGTAACGAATAACCTTCCACCTTGGTCGCGCCAGTTTTCCTCCTTCTGCTTCGTCTTCCGTGGTCTGGTCGCGCCACCCTGGCTACTTCCCCTCTTTTGAGCTTTTCTTTTTTTCTCTCGTCTCCCTCGTTTCCTGCTTTTCCTCTTTTCGACCGCTGCAAATACGTCGAGGAGAACCAGCGAGAGACAGCGAGACGAGGAGGTGGTTTCCATAGAAACCGACCAGTCCGTGTCGGTGGCACGGTTCATCCTTCTGTCGAGATTCGCGCGACATACCGATCCAAGACGCGATACCGATCGCGAAAACATCACGAAGAACCTTTGTTTGTAGATACCACGGACATCGATCGAATTTGCGATCGCAGTACAGGTTTCCTCGTTCCATTGTACCTGTAGACGCGAAAGTTCCCTGCGAAAGAAATTTGATGGTCGTCGGGGAAGCAGGTTGAGCGTTGGTAAAGGTTCGATTACTCGGTGAAGTTTTCGTTAGAGCTAGCCCGATAAACTCGCCAAGACTTTGCCGACTTGTTCGCCGGATAATCGCAGCAATTATCCACGAACCGATCTGCTTCGAATACCGCGACAGGGAATTTCAAGTTTGCGGTAGTAACTCCACCAGCACCATCACCGATGCGCAGCAATTCCCGTGACATTAATTATTGAAATCGCCCCCGGCGGCCTCCTCCTCGTCCTTCTATTTCTGATCCTCATCCTTCCCAAGCTCCGTCGTTCCACGCTATCTCGAACTCTCCGTTTCCCTCTCCTTCTTCCCGTTTTCCTCCTCGAGTATACCGTCTTCGTCGCCGGTTTCGTCTCTCTTTCGCTTCGATCGCTTCTTGCTCGCGCTTCTCGCACTCGTAGCCTCTCAGCCTCGTTTCCTAGTTCGTCGGAAGTCCCTTGGGCGAAACTTTGTCGAGAAGCAGACAGAGACTCCGCCACTTAATATTCAATCGCTCAGCCGTCTTGTCGCTCCTGGCGCGCGACGAGAACAAACGAGACCGATAAATTAATATCGCTGATCTAGAACTTTGCTCTCGCTTTCGCTATCTCGGTCTCCTCCGTCTTCGCTAGACCGGCGAGCTTCTAGCGCGTGTCCTCGCGATTAGATACCTCTGTCTCGGGATTTAATTTCTCTACCTTGGAGCGAAGCTACAAGCTTAACTAGAACGAAATAAAATTTCTTTATACGTGATGCATAATGTATCGATAAAATGTGGGTTTTCACGAATGCACTTTTGACATTTGCCGAAATCGATACCTGTTGAGGCTGCATTCGGTAGTCGCACGCGCGTGCAATTGATATTATTACAAGGTCGTACACGTGTACGTAGCCCGACGCGACGTGTGTATCATTATGTCAGTTCATGAATATATGTATATGTTCCGGTGTATCTGTCGAGCGGCCGATCGATGTACATGTTTTTTAATGTTTACAATCTTAAACCATTGATTATAACGCTAACAATGCGTGTTTCGAGGTTTGTTTCAATTTCAATTCACTCTCGCGAGTCACTCTCGCGAGGATCGTTTCGAGCTGAATTGGCCGCGTTGGATTTTTCATGGAAAGAGTCTGCAATCGGTGTCGCGGTATCGGAATATTTTCATGGTTGACGATTAGTACGATTTAATGGGAAATATTTAGCTCGATCGATCCCTCGCCTGGCTAGGCGCCACGTAGACGAAACGTATCGTCGACGATAAAACGTCCGAATTCGAATAATCAGAGTTTCGATCGGTTTTCATTTTGGTAACGATTGGACGCGGAATTGCTCGTGGCTTTATATCGACATCGACGCTTTGTTTCGTAGTCACATACCGTCACGGATACCCTGAAACTTTCACGTTCTCGTTAAACTTTCGATTACGCGTCGTCCAAGTCCAATTCTGACGCTCGGGCATTGTTAGAAAACAAGGCAAGGGTAAAGTTGGTCTCGCTCTTGGAATTACTTTCCAAGTCCTCTTATCGTCGCAGCTATAATCAGCGTTAACCAGCATTAGAACAAGTAGCGGTCGACTGGGACGACTTTCCACCGAAAGGGATTCTACACGTGCCGTGGCAAACTAAATATTAAATATCGAGCACCTTACCTCGTTGCTGCCAGTTACTATCGAGCGAAGTGACCCAGTTGTCCGATTATACTACACACACACACCCCCCTCCCCCCCGCCCCCACCCGCCGAGAAGTCGTCGAATCGTGACTTTAGACAGACCAAGTTGGGAAATAAGTCTCGAGACTTATTTCCGATCGGTTTTCATCGTTCGTCGGATAGATAGCTAGGATAATGCAAAGTTTGTATATTTTAATCATTTAAATTACTTATATTTTTTTGTAGAAATATTTTATTTGTCGGTAAGACTGTTTCGTTTGTGCGTTCAGACCGAATGTCAATGAATCGGTCGTTTGAAACGTTCGATTCTCGATGTACATCGTCGAGGTCTGTGTTGTGGTACATACATTGTAGAAATCGGGTTTTGACTGTTGGTGCGTCGAGCGCCATTATGTCATTCGAACACGCACCGATCACGCCCGGGGTGTATTCCTGTCATCTAGATGACGTTTACTCGCAGTGTTCTGCTAATTTGTATCGTTTGATCGTGTAACCGCGAATTGTCGCGCCTCCAGCGATACCTCTGCCCATCATCGTGGACGGATGATCGATAAACGATGCTGCGTCTCCTTCGAGGGGCGTGTTATCCACACGCGAGCCGAGCAGAGTCTTCCCCTAATACTAGTTCTGTATCGATCATCGAGTTGATTTATCCCGGTGGATGGAACTCCTAACCGAACGGACACTGTCCATGTCGCCGTATATTATGCTTGTATACGTATATCGACAAAGATTAACGAAGATTAAGATTCTAACAGTTCTTTGTCGTAAAAGTGCCAGGAACGTCGAGCTGTACGCTACGCGAGGGTATATTAGTCCGATCGAGCGGTAAGGACGGTTTCTCGTTGGCCCGGTGTTTCCTTCTGGAAGAAAATTGCCATCGGCAAGTTGGCTCCGACGCTAAAAACTTGAAGCTTCTCTGCATCGTGCGCGGCCGAGAGTATGAGATGTAGTTTATTGTCAGGCGACTGCAAAGTGGAGGCGGAGGCGGAGGCGGAGGCGGAGGAAGAATGGGATAGAGAAGGAAGGTCCATTTTCCTAATAACGTCGAGTTCGGCCTCGGCCAGAAGGTTAGGTTCGTCGGAGTTTTTTTTCCACCCTTTATCCCGACGCGTCTCTTCGTTTCGCTTTCGACGACGGTGTAACGGATTTCTTTCTCTCGTTAAGCGTACCCTTTCGCTTACCCTGTGATACGAACGCCGTCTGTTCTCAATTTTTCACGATCCCGTGAATTTCTTCGCGTCATACAGGAGACCGTCTTGCTCGTTTCGTTTCCGATAAATAATCAAACGTAACGAGGTCGTGAAAACTAAGACGAGACCTTTGCGATACAAAATATTGCCTGATACGCGAGAAATTGTTTGGACATTTTCGGATCCATTCGATCCTTGAACTTTCTTATAGTACATCGAATAAACGTTTAATCGTTTTCGAGTGTCGAATACATCCGCGAAGCATCGTGCTATGCTCTCTCTGTATACGTAAATATATGGATCATACCGTCCCTCGGACGCGACGCCTCTTCAAAGCTAGACTGTTCGTTTACCGTCGAAGAAAGGATCGTTAACGATTGGCCAGAGGACCAGTCAAAACTAGAAACAGTTTCGATCTCTCGGATCTCTTTCTTTCCTTTCTGGAAACCGAATGGCAGGCGAGGGAGGAATTTATACGCGAAATCCGCGTGGAATTTGATGCGGGACGCTTTCATCGAGCTCGAGCCACGATCAGGCAGCAGGCAGACGAGAGGCGGCAAAGGGAGAGAAAGGGAGAGAAAGGGAGAAAGGGACGATTCCGTGCGCGAAGAGAAGAAAGGGTGCGAACAGAAGGAGACCAGAGGGTGGCCAACTCGAAGGGACTCGAGGAGGCGAAGCGAAAGGGGTCG